CTGAAAATCATAATTGATAATGGAATAAAGTTTCCGACGAAATAAAGAATAATTTGTTCTTTCCTTTTCTTTTTTTCATTCTTAAATGCAACAATTTTTTTTTCTATTTTTTTTTCTTTGCATGATATTTCATGCTTTTAATCCGTGCAATAACAAACAATCATTCATTTACTGATATTGATAATGACCCGAATGAATAGCAGTCCAGATGAATGTAATTTATAATTTTGCTCATTAAAACATCATGAATTCGTTGATAAAAATGACAGCGAATGAAACCAGTTTATTTTATTTTATTGTAATACACCAAAATCATGTTTTAACAAACAAAATACATCAAACAACATCGCACAATTCACTTTTATGTTTCAATTAAAAAAAAAAAAAAAGAAAAAAGAAAAAGAACAAGTCGATCATTTATTACTTCATTTTTGGTTTTGAAAATTTCGATTTTAGAAATTTAAAATTGTTGAATTTTGATTTTAGGCCATTTTTTTGAGATCGTTTTTTGTTTTCTTTTCAGGTATAAAAGTGAAATTTATCGACGAAGAAATCTTATTACACATTTTGATGCATGAAATTTTTTTAAATTTAATTTTAATGGAAACAAAAAATGGTCATTATTTCGCACAATTTTTCATTTGAGAAATTCACTAATAATGCATCAAAATATAAAATGTTAATAAATGCATTAAAACACAAAAACGAGAATTATGCACAGTAAATAACTGAAACTTTCCTAGTTACTATAAAATTTCACTGAATATTACAAATGAATTCAACACTAATTGAAACAAGAAAAAAGGCAATAAATATTTGATGAATCGATTTTCTTTTTTTTTTATCTACAGACCGAGAAAATAATTTCAAAATTAAATGAATTTGGAAAAATATTTTTCTTACCTAATATATATGCAACGGTAATATGAAGAAAAAGAAAACAACAAAACATTTTTTGGAGTTTCTTTTTTCTTTTGCAATTCAAAATAAAACATTGTTTATTTTTTTTCTACAAATTTCGAACATTATTGACATTACGGATGCTTTGAAAATTAATGAATCATTTAAAAGAATATATCATTTTCAATCAAAATACAACCGACATCCTCATTTATCTAGCAAAAAAATTATTTAGAGAGTAAAAATTTGAAGAGCATAGTCTGTAATTCAATATAATTCATATATGTAACAGGGAAGTTTTTTTGCATGATATATTTGAAAAGAAGGGAGGGGAATTGAATAGGATAAAGCGGGAAATATTCACAATTAATATCCCAAAAGTTCGGTAAGGAAAATGAATACATTAAGAAATATAAAAAAAAGGGGGGGGGGGAAAAAAAACCTGTATACAAGTCTCATTCAAAACCTTCAATGCAATGATTCATTCCGCAAGCATGCAAGAATTCGGAATATTTTTTTCCTCTAATTTTCATCAATATATAAGTTCCAATATATTCCCGCAAAAGACACTAATAAACATTACTAATTTAAGATTAAAATTATTGTGAAATGAAATTCACGAAAATATGGGAAACAAAAAAGAAAAAAATAACTGAACCTGAAAAGCATAATCAACTATTTGTCGGAGAATGAGGATATATGGATGTTGCCGACAGAGTTACTGCTGTATTGCGCTGTCGTTTAGTTTGCAATCGCTTACGCCTTTCCGCTTCCGCATCAGGTAATACCTGCTTACAGTCAACACATTCCGTTACCGATTCCTTATTATCAGCTCGATTTGTACTGTTCGCAAGTTCCTACAACAAATATGCTAATTATTTTTGTTAAATGCTTCGAACATTATCATAAATTTTATTTAACAAAATAAAACCATTATAACAGGAATGAAATTGATTAATTTTTAACTGTAATTAAAGTAATGATGCAATACTTTGTATTGATGAAGTTGTTGTTTGATCGTTTTAATTTCATTCTGCTGATCTTGAATAACTTGCATCATCGCTTTCAAATGATTCATTAATGGTGCTGCGATAGCGGTCAATTTATAACAAGCAACTGTTGGGACATCATTTTCAACAGTGTCCAATTTAACCACTACAGCATCACTACTCGAATCATCCACATCTTTCCGTGCACTCAGACCTTCAATATTTTCTTTTTTTTTTTTTTTTTGTGATGAACAAATAAATGAATAGGTTCATTCGTTGAACTGCAAAGCGAAATTTTCAGATGACAAATGAAGGACATTCGACTGAATAAATCCATAAATAATAAGGTAGAAAATCAAGAAATGGACCTGTATGATTTTTGACTTTAAATTTTTGACAGTTAACAAAAATTAAGAATGTGAAAAAGAAAAATCAATTTCTGCCATCACAAATTTAAAAAAAAGAAAACACACAAATTAACCTTGATTTATTGCATCAAGTAAGCGATTCCCGTGTACAATTGCGCTCAGTGCTAGTTCTTGACCATCTCGTTGTTTCAATTCCGTAACAGCCATACCAGCTAGCTGTTCCGTTAACTTTTCCAATTCAGCAATGTTACTCTTCTAATAAAAGGAAAAAAAAAGAAATGATGAAAATATTGCATTTTATATATTTAGCAAAAATAGTATCAATTTTACAGTTATTGAAAAAAGAAAAGAAAAAAACAAACTAAAATAAAAATAGAATAAATAACGTTTTATAAAATTTAACAATTTTCCTTCTGTAAAGAAAAAAATGAGTAAATAAATGAGTATATATGTCAATGACTTAAAATGTTTATTTAAAAGAAAAGGGAAAAAAGTAAATAGACAAACATTTGGTCCAGGAAGAAACTGGGCCAATATTGTCTGCTTATCAAGCAAAGCTTTCATAATTAATTCATCATTACGTCGTAACCGTTCCGTAAGAGTCAAAATTGGCTGAGCACGTTCCAAGATCGTTGGTTGTTGTATTGTTATTTCGTTGGCACTAACAAGCCGTGGATGAGTCGAAATTTGTACTCTTTCAAAGAAATCTACATCTTCTGTGTGATACTGTGCGTTATCTGTTGCATCCATATCAAATGAACTAAAAACTCCAAAAATCATTAATATAAAAGAATCAGTATTTTCGGAAATATTATATGAACGGAATGATTTCTTGGATATTATGAAACCAGTAATGAATGGTCAAATATAATCATAAAATCAAAGTAATGATAAATACCCGATATTAGGTTGTGCGTTGATATTTTCACATTTGACGAGATCAATTTGATCCGAGATCAGCTTGAACCATCTAAAAACCATTAAACTTTCCTTGTAGTGATAAATACCTGATACGATCGTATCGCTAGTCGATTACAGACGAAACCGTCACTCTCACAACTCAGAAAATTATGTAAGTTATGCAGGCAACAGAAACATTGACATTAATACTGTATACTCAGTAGATCTATAAACATTTAAACTTAATGCAGTATTAGTTTAAGTAATCTCATACAAACTCTACAAATTTCATATCTCATTTAAATGTCCTATTGCTTAGTATTGAGTACAATCAAAGTCACTTCATATTCCAATTAATTTGCACAAAAAAAAAAAGAAACAAAAGAAAGTAACGTTTTCCGTTCAGTAGCAGTAGTAGTGACCAATTCATAGATTTGTGCACCCCGTTCCATTGTATTTACAATAAATAAAGCCCTCTTATCATTAGCTTTTCCTTGGCAATCAGTGTTGTCAAAGGTAATATGGGAGACCATCGTGTATCTTTTGACGGTTCCTAAAAGTCTTACTAAAATGATTTCCTGAGAAAGCAAATAAACTAAAGATAGAGCAATGGTTAATATCTCAAAATGTTAGCCATTATTCTTTTAGAAAAATTACGAATACAAAAAAA